TTTCTCTCTATTTTTCGTACATTAATATTTTTACTTTTTCTTTCCTTCCATTTTCATCCCCCCCTCCACCCCCTCCACCACTGCTTTTGCCCCTCCACCCCACTCGGCAGAAGATCCTATCACTCCTACACTTACTACCTGTAAGTAACCACTTTGTGAAAACTAGTTTCAGTGCTTTTTTCTTTCTTTTTTTCTTTCTCTCTCTCTCTCTTCACGCTCTCCTCTTTTTAATATTCATGCATGATTGCGTGGCTTGTGCTTCCTTCAAACCGCATTCTGATCTCCAGCCGGCCGGACAGCGCTGCATTGCTTTAATGACGGATACTGAAACCAATCCCAGCATTGATGAACTGGCCTGCGTTTTGGCCTTGTGAATGATTCATCAGAGCGAACGCTGGGAGAGAAAAACATATATGCTAATTCTCCTCTGGAGGAAATGCTCTTTGGTGCGGTTTGAAGGAAAGATCACATGATCACAAGAATTCCCGTAGAGTTTAAGAAAGCATCAGTTCTTTTCCTTCCCATTGCTGTTTAATGAACGGATCAGTGAATCAAATGAATGAATCGACTCTCTCAGGTGTTCATCCATCAGATCACTGCTCCTGTTGCTTTCCCTTCATCTTTATTATTATTATTATTTTTTTTACATCTGTTTGTGCATGAGTCTGTCTAGTGCATGTTAATCATCACACACACACACACACACACACACACACACACACACACACACACACACACACACACACACACACACACACACACACACACACACACACACACACACACACACAGTCAAGAATCAAGTGACATTCAAACGAATCAAGTGACTCTCAAATTATTAATCAAATCATTGAACTGAATGCTTGATATTTGACACACCTGATGTGATGAAACACATTCACTTATTTATAAATTTGACTGATATTATTGTTATATTGGTTATGTTAGCATTATTTCTGATGGCTGGAATGGAAAGATTAAATGCCCTCTCCCTTTAGCTTACCTTATTTAAAGCATTATTTTATTTATTTATTGTATTCAGATTTGATAACTGACCATTGTACGATCAGGATAATTAAGGTTTATTAAATAATATCAACTTTTGATTTAAGTAATGCATTGATAGATGTTGAATTGAGCACTAAGTAAGATTAATAAATACCTTGGATGTGTGTATATTTCTTATTTATTGAATAATTAAAGTAGTTATTTTTAAGAAATATGTATACTTAATTGAACACAAGCAGAATACATTTAGAAATCCTGTAGTTTCGACATTTATTATTATTGTTATTATTATTATTATTATTATTATTATAGTTTAATTGTAGATTATATTATGCATATATTATTCATATAATCATGTTTTTATTTTTGAATAAGGAAGTTGCAGAAAAATCTAAAGCATTTATGCATCTTATTTATTAAAAAAATAAATACCTGTAAATAAATGCATTTAATTTAATATTTTTGTTTCTAAAAATGTAAAATAATTATGAAAAATGATCCAGCATTATTATTATTATTATTATTATTATTATTATTATAGTTTATTGTAGATTGTTATGTATATATTATTCATATAATTTTGTTGTTTAATTTTACATAGCAAATCAATGAATTGCATAAAGAAGTTATTAGCATTTAAAGCATTTATGCATCTTGTTCATTTACTGATACTGTACGTATATTATTTCAAATATGAAATAAGTAAATACAGGTAAAAATTAAAAATCATTTTTAGTAATAATAATAACTAAAAATTATTTTAAAAAATTCTAAAGCCATTTATAAAAAATGCTAATGATTATGAAAAATGATCCAGCATTGCCTGAAATTATTTGACACGCCTGATCTGATGATACACATTCACATATTTGTAAATTCAGATTTGATAACTGACCATTGTACGTTCAGATTATTTAAGTAATTAAATAATATCAACTTTTGATTTAAGTAATGCATTGATAGATGTTGAATTGAGCACTAGGTAAGATTAATAAATGCCTTGGATGTGTGTATATTTCCTATTTATTGAATATTTGAAGCAATTACTTTTGAGAAATGTGTATACTTAATTGAACACAAGCGGAATACATGTGTAAAGCTTGTAGTTTGTACGTTTATATATCATACATTATTATTATTAGAGTTTAATTATTCATTATATTATGCATATATTATTCATACAATCTTGTTTTTATGTTTGGATAGCAAATAAATGAAATGCATAAAGAAGCTGCACAAATATCTAAAGCATTTATGCATCTTGTTCATTTGCTGATACTGTACATTATTCTAATTGAATTTATTGAGTTGTTTTGTTGCTCTTTTACAGTGTTTACATTATTCAATTAAATTTTCAGATGATATGAAATAAACACACATAAATAAATACGTTTAATTTGATATTTTTGTTTAACGTTAACAAATAAGTTATATTAATAAGCATGAGTTAATTAAAAATGCTATCAATGATTTCTGAAGGCGTTTATAAAATAAATAATGAATGAAAATAATTATAATAATAAATGAACCAGCATTGCCTGATAATGAGAATAGATTCGTTGCATTATTTATTCACCTTTGTTCATGTTTTAGTTCAAAGCAAATCAAAAATGTATTTATGAAGCACCTTAAAAACACAGCGTGTAGCACAAAGTAAGCATAAAACACAACAAAATACACCGATATAGTCAACAACACAACAATGCAGAAAGAAATATAGAGTACAATCGCATACAAATATTTCCAGTCAAATAACATTACATATCATTGACTTAACTTTAAAAATGCCTTGGACGTTGGGTCAAATATGGATATTTGATAATTCTTTTAAATTAAACTTACATTTTTGACCATATTTGACCCAATGTTGTGTTAAAACACAGGTGTCAAACTCCTGGAGGGCCGCAGCTCTGCACAGTTCAGCTTTACCTCTTATTAAACACACCTGATCAAACTCAGCAAGTCCTTCAGGCTTGTTTGAAACCTACAGGTAAGTGTGTTGGAACTAAACAGTGCAGAGTTGCGGCCCTCCAGGAACTGAGTTTGACACCTGTGGGTTAAAAGAACACAGCATTAGTCTAAGTGTGTAGTAAACACTGAAATAAACATTAAGTACACTCTTAAGAACATCCCTTCTTTCTGTATTTGTGTGTGTTTTGTGTTGGCGAATTGCATTATGGGATGTAGATCTCTGCTCTGTCCACTTCTGATGTTGAAAATTCAACTCTACAGTTTAACAAAGTGACTTTATTGACCTTTTTAGTGGTTTAAAATAATATAAGTGTGTTAAATAACAGTAAATGTGCTGCAGTTTATTACAAGGTTTCTGTAGCGTAATGTACAACAGCAGCACACACAATACAGCACTGCGGACATGCAGAAAACACACTTCTTTGTTAACTTTTCATGGTTAAATCAAGATCTCATAATGCAATTCAGAAGCAAAATGACATGGAAAAAACAAACAAACATGAATCACAAAATATGTAAAACTGCTAAATTGCGGATATTTATTTACAGTGTAGAATGAACAGACGCATTGTTTCCTGATAGTCAACTTAGTAAAGTTTGTTGCGGCTCTGCATGAATTAATGTGCTTTATTTATAGCGTCTGGAATCTGCGGTTTAATCTGCTTTATTTGCGCGGAGGGATTCCTTCAGGCCTTCAAACGTGACATTCATGCAGGAGCGAGAGAAAGTCGCATCTGTTTGTGTCGGGATCCGCAGCCTTCAGCCAGGATTAGACGAAGATCCAGAGTCTGTTGATCAAATCCCCCGATATGGAGAGCATCTTCAGCATTTATAACTCTCTCTATATTTGGACACACAATACTGAACACCAATATCATTACATTAGGAGCAGGCTGCTCTTCTGCTATTCTGAAAACAAATGATTTATTGCAGTTAAGACTTTTTTAAAGGTAAATAGCTGCAAACAATTGATGTGGGCTTAGTTTTACAAACAATTTAAGTGGAGGTGGCACGGTGGCTCAGTGGTTAGCACTGTGGCCTCATAGTAAGAAGGTCGCTGGTTTGAGCCCTGGCTGGGTCAGTCGGTGTTTCTGAGTGGAGTTTGCATGTTCTCCCCCTGTTGGTGTGTGTTTCCTCCGGGTGCTCCGGTTTCCCCCACAGTCCAAACACATGCGCTATAGGGGAATTGATCAACTATATTGGCCGTAGTGTATGAGTGTGTGTGTGTGAATGAGTGTGTGTGGGTGTTTCCCAGTACTGGCTTGCGGCTGAAAGGGCATCCGCTGTGTAAAACATATGCTGGAATAGTTGGCAGTTCATTCCACTGTGGTGACCCCTGATGAATAAAGGGACTAAGCTGAAAGAAAATGAAGTTGGACGTTCCTACATTTAATTAGCCCAAATTCAGCCCACATCAATTTTTAGCTCACTGCATTTGATATTTAACTGAGGAGCTTTGAGACACTCATTGATGAACCGTATATATGTGTTGTGTAATCAGTCCATGAGCAGCATCAGCTTCGGGAGTGTTATCAATGGAG